CATCGATTTTTACAAGTGTTTTAAAGCGAACCCATCGTTTAATTTCATCCAAATTGTCTCTGTTTACAAATGGCATCGTGCGTAAATTAACGTGTCATTTCTCGCTTCTGACGTCACGATTCCAACATGGCCGTCGCGACTACTCAGGGGCCTTGTGACTTAGAGACAAATACATTGGTTCTGTAAAGCATGAAATCGATTATCGTATGACTACAATGTTTTTGAATTAATTTCGTATAAATTGTTGCGTTGATTGGAAAGATATTGTAATTTATTATGAATAATATAAGCTCAACGGTTTAAATCAAAAAATTTAACATGCTAGGTGAATTGATAGAATTGCGAATTTTAAGTTCTTTTTTTAAAAATTATTAATACCGAAGAAGGTCTAATTTATGACCGAAACGTTTATTATCACTATGTATTAAACATTAATAAAATTTAAATTTCGCTACAGTTATCTTGCGTTCGTGGTATAACTCTTTCAAACAAAATTGTTGTGTTTTCAATTAAACCACGTTTTTCTTTGTTTTTGTTTATAACAATGATAAGTTACTGATGTACAATGGTTATGTATTAACCTGCATGTTGGAATTTGCGTATACTAATTAAAAATTAAATTACAATACACGGCTCAAATGATAAAATTCATAACATATATACAATAGAAACGAACCGAAATAAATTATTAGTCACAATGTTAAAAAATTGTAAACAAGATGTTTCGATCTATCACGAGGTCATTTTCAAATTGTTAAAACAAATTTCGAATATGTACGGACTATATTACAATATTAATATCAAAGAAAAGATAATGTCTTCTAATTACAATACATATATGCAATCTGGCGGTATACATCCTAACAATACACACAACGCTGCTAGGATGTATACCGCCGGATTGCATACATGTATCGTAATTAGCAGACATCTTTTCTTTGATATTAATATTGTAATATAGTCCGTACATATTCGAAATTTGTTTTAACAATTTGAAAATGACCTCGTGATAGATCGAAACGTCTTGTTTACAATTTTTTAACATTGTGACTAATAATTTATTTCGGCTCGTTTCTATTGTATATGTTATGAATTTTATCATTTGAGCCGTGTATTGTAATTTAATTTTTAATTAGTATACGCAAATTCCAACATGCAAATTAATACATAACCATTGTACATCAGTAACTTATAATTGTTATAAATATATTATTTTGGCTCGTAGCTCCTGTATTTTAATTTGAATTTTTATTAATTGAGCCGCTTATTATAATATTTAACTTTATTTGTTTCAAATTTTCTAGAAGTAATGTAGATATTAATTTTGCTATGGAATTGTATGTTACGTACCCTTGATGTTACTTTTAAAACTTTTCCTTGTATTATTTTTTTTTGGAAATTTATATATATTAAATTATTTGAATTTAACATATATCACTTTAGAAAATTTAATTAAGAACAGCTCCAAGCCAATAGAAAACATATATTGTAACATATAATACAAAAGTTCAAAGTTAACAATAAATATATAATAAAACTAAAATGAAATTAAACAACATATATTGAGAAAAACCTAATGTTTCGACCTCCTTCGGGTCATTATCAAAATTTATATCTAAAAATAAATATAACTAGCCGCTGAACATAAACAAATTAACATAATCGAAAACTAATTATAAAAAGACCTTCATTGTTATCTTATAGATATGTGGTCGACGCAGTACTTTTCTATATCTTATAATTTAATACGTGATTTTTGTATACATACTTAGGTAATATTGTAAACAACGAATTCACCCTATTCTTACTATTGTAAATTTATTCTATTTTATATTTAGAAGCCGGAATTTACATTATGTGAAGGACATACTAGTATTCACTGGCTTGTTAAAGGTTTTGATTTGTCGTCAACTTCATTTATGATGTGACTTATGATGTGCATCCGAAATTTGACGATTTAAACTGCATATGTTGTGTTGCTAGATACCTAAGAATAATTATTTGGCATAGTATTCAAGATCTACCACATGCGTCGACCACATATCTATAAGATAATATGATAGCCTTAACAACGAAGGCCTTTTTATAATTAGTTTCCGATTATGTATTTATGTTAATTTGTTTACGTTCAGCGGCTAGTTATACTTATTTTTAGATTTAAACTTTGATAATGATCTGAAGGAGATCGAAACGTTAGGTTTTTTTCAATATATGTATGTTGTTTAATTTTATTTTACTTTTATTATATATTTATTGTTAATTTTCAACTTTTGTATTATATGTTACAATATGTGTTTTGGGGGGCTTGTTTTCTATTGGAGCTTCTTAATTAAATTTTCTTTTTTTACATACCACTTTTCTTAAAAGCCAATGCATTTAGAATACGATTCACTCATAATACAAAATTTAAAAAATTTATGTCATTCTTCTTGCGGGCATTGACATGTTTTAACAATGATTAATATAAAAATTAAAAAAATTTTTTTAGATAAGCCTTAATCTTCCACTTAAATTATTATTTTGCTGTTACAACCTGCTGTTATATTTCTGGCTTCATCTCTTTTTATTATACTTATTTTCAACGTAAATAAATCAAGAAAGATAATACAACTCCTCTACTAACTGAAAAGATTAATTTGAGTATATTTTTATAGATTTATAAAGTTTTTGTTTCTTGATAGATTCGATGATATTCAAGATGAGGCCGTTATGCGAAAAGGTTTTCCCGTAACCCATTCTGTTTATGGACTTCACAATTCAATAAACGCTGCAAATTATTTAGAACTTATTGCTTGTGAAAAACTTACTAATTTACATCCTATGGTAATAAGTAATTGCATTATGTCTGTGTAAAACTTTGAAAAATTGAATGTGTTTTATTTTCTTGGTATGTTATAACTGAAATCAAAATGTGAAATAGATAATTTTACCAAAATTCCTTTTTCGATTTTCTGCATGCATAAAGATTCATTGAGTCGATTCTAGTCTTCTCATTCAATTCTTATCTATTATATTTCGAAGATGATTAAAACTTAATCCTGAATGTCTAGTCTATTTTAATGTTGTACGACTTTTTCCGTATAAATCATAAAATAAATTATTAAAATATAATTCTTATTTTAAAATTGCCTTCCGATAACGCTTCTTTGTAATATTGTTTATATATTTCTAATATATATTTTTTATTTTAATTGTATATTTTTATATCTTAACAGGCAGTTAAAATTTTGATTGAACAATTGATGGAATTCTACAAAGGTCAGGGAATGGATATATATTGGAAGGAAAATTTTATCTGTCCAACGGAAAAAGATTACAATATTGTAGCAATAAGAAGTAAATATTTTTGCTTTTGTAAGCTTCTGTTTACATACAAAGTGTATTATATATATATATGTATAATTTGAATATTAATGAATTTTATAGAGAGTGGTTGGTTAATCATGATGGTGATAAAATTAATGAAACTATTTTCTACTTATGAAGAAGACGTCTTGCCGCTAGCAAGTACTCTAGCATTGTATCATCAGATATATGATGATTATTGCAATTACGATAAGGTAACCAATCATTTTGATTAAATTAGTTGAACTAAATTTAACAAAATTTATTGTTATTACAGAATACTGACGAGAACAGTTATTGCGATGATTTGACCGAAGGAAAAATGAGTTTCTTAATTATTCATGCACTTAGAAACAATCCTCACGATGAGGAAATAATAAGTATCCTTTATCAAACATTATATTTAATATGAAATAAGTAGATATTATGAAATATATTTCGTATTAAGTAGACAATAAGAAAATTAAATACTAAACATATCTCTATTAAAAAAATTTTACAACAATATTTTTAGATAATGTTAAAATCCTTAACAAAATAATTCAAGATATTTTAAAACAACGATCGAAAAATATTAAAGTAAAACGTTACTGTGCTGAAGTATTAGAGAGTTATGGCTCATTTAAGTACGCAAGAGATGTACTTGATGAACTGGAAAAAAAGATAAGAACCGATGTTGATCGTTTAGGTGGCAATCCGCTTTTAATAAAGATTTTGGACTATTTTAAGAATAAGATGTTGAAAACACGTATCTAAAAATTCTTTAAACAAAATAATAAAAAATTCAGAAATATGTAGTTTTTTATTGATAAAACGTCAGACGTAGTATTGTATAATTTATCTACGAGGTGTGATCAAAAAGTAAGGTGACTTTTCATTTTTATAAAAAAATATTCATTTATTCATCCAAAATTATGTTATCCCCTTCAAAATAATCCCCCTCTGATACAATGCACTTGTGCCGGCGCTTTTTCCAGTCGTCAAAACACTTCTGAAATGTACTTTTGGGTATTGCCTTGAGCTCCTCCAGCGATGCAGCCTTAATCTCCTCAATCGTCGCAAATCTTCGTCCTTTCATGGGAAAAAAAAATTCGTCATACCCATGTTTCGTCACCAGTTATAACCCTTTTGAGCAGATCAGGATCATCATTGACGTCGTTCAACATGTCTTGGGCGATGTTCATACGACACTGCTTCTGATCAAAATTAAGCAGTTGTGGAACGAATTTCGCTGACGTGTCATACCCAAAACATCCATTAAAATTGATTGGCATGAGCCAAACGATATGTTAAGATCATCAGCTATTTCTCTAATCGTGATTC